TCCTGACTCCAAATTATACTACAGAGCCACTGTGATTAAAAACAGGATGGTACTGGCAAACAAACAAACTGAAGTGAGGATTAATGGAATAGATAAGATGCAGAAACAACTCCAGACTCACTCAGCCACTTTATCTTCAACAAAGGATCCAAACATCTTCCCTTGAAGAAAGATAGTCTCTTTAATAAACAGTGCTGGAAAAACTGGCTTTATACATGCTGAAGACTAAAACTAGTCCCACATCTCTCACCATGAAATAACTAAAATGAAAATGGATCAGAGATCTAAATATTCAAAAACACTAAATCTGCTGGAATAGAGACTACGTGGAACTCTTGAAGACATAGGGGTAGGTAGGCAAGGTCTTTATGAGCAAAATCTGGATTGCATGGCAAATATTACAAAGAATCAACAACTGGGATCTCATCCTATTAAAAAGCTTTTGCAACACAAAAGAAATCAACAAAGAACAGAGACAACCAACAAAAGTGGGAAAAAATTTTTGCCAGCTGTTCCTCAGACAAAAGACTGATATGAAGAGCTGGGACTAAAGGTTCCTTTTGACCCAGCCATCCCTCTGCTGGGTATCTTTCCAAAAGAATTAAAAGAATCATATCACAGTGATATATATGCACCAATGTTTATCGCGAAAGTTTGTATAGGTTCCTTTTGACCCAGCCATCCCTCTGCTGGGTATCTTTCCAAAAGAATTAAAAGAATCATATCACAGTGATATATATGCACCCATGTTTATCGCGGCACAGTTTGTAATATCTAAAACTTGGAAATAGCCCATTTGCCCATCAGTTGGAAACTGGATAAAGAAGATATGGTTTTTCTATAGAATGTAATACTACTCAGCCATAAAGAATGAGAAATTAGATTCATTCATAGGAAAATGGATATATTTTGAGGATATACTCCTAAGTGAAATAAATAAGTCACACATGTGTAAATACCATATAGTTTCTCTGGTGTGAAAAACTATAAGAGTACATAGGATCCTAATGAGATAACTGACCATGTGAAATAGGAAGAAAAGGGCTAAAGGTGTAGGGAAAGTGGGAAGGGTAGGGGAAAGGGAATAATGGAAAAGAAAAAAATATGAGAAAATGAAAAAAATGGAAATAAAGTGTTTGTAAACGGGAGGGGAGGAGGAGATGAAGGGAGGGCAGGGACAAGGGGAAAAAATGAGAACCAAGATCTGTCATGTAAAGGTACAAGATCCCAATAATGAATGTAACTGTACTGTATGCCTAAAATGTACCCATAAACTCAATTTAAAAAAAACTGAAAAAATACCTCCCAAATTTAAAGACCCAATCCAAAATTGAGCATCTGAGATATATACACACTGCTCAGATGAAGAAGTACAAATGGCTAAGAAATATATGAAAAAATGTTCAGACTCACTGGTCATTGGAGAGATCCAAATTAAAAGCACTGAGAGGGTTAGAGAGTTAGCTCGGTGGGGCCACGACATGCCTTGCAAGCGCAAGGTCCGGAGTTCGATCCCTGATACCCAAAACAAAACAAAAGAATGCCAAAAACTCATCAAATTTAAAAAAAAAATGCTATCATTTGAGGGCCGGGGATTTAGCTCAGCAGTTTGGTGGCCTTCCTTGCAAGCACAAGGACCCAAGTTCAATCCCCGGTACCAAAAAAAAAAAAAAAAAAAAAAAAAAAAAAAAAAAAGCACCGAGATTCTATCTCACTCCAGAAAGAATGGCTGTTATCAAGAGAACAACCAGGGCCAGGGATTTAGCTCAGTGGCACCACACCAGCCTTGTAAGTGCAAGGTCCTGAGTTTGATCCCCAGTACAAAAAAAAGAAAAGAAAAGAAAAAAGAAAACAACCAATAACAAATGCTGGTGGGGCTATGTGGAAAAAGAAACCCTTCTCCACCGTTGGTGGTAATGCAGACTGGTACAGCCACTATGGCAATCAGTGTGGAGATTTCCCAAAAAACTTGGACTAGAGTTTCCATGTCACTCAGCTATCATCCTTCTTAGTATCTTCCCAAAAGCATTAAAAGCATCACACCACAGTGACATATGCACAGTCATGTTCATAGCAGCACAGTTTGCAACAGCTAAATCTTGTGAACAACCCAAATGCTCATCAACCAATGAATGGACAAAGAAGATGTGGCTTTTTTATGCAATGGAATACTACCTAGCCATAGGGAAAGATAAGCTTAAGACATTTATAGCTAAATGGAAGCACATAGGGACCACAGTCTTAAGTGAAATAAACCAGACACACATGTGTAAATATTGCATTGTTTTTCTGGTGTGAGAAACTGAAATTGTAAATAAGGACCAAAATCTATAATAGATGTGAAATAGGAAGAAAATGTTCAAATGGATAGAGGCCCAAGGGAGCGGGGAGAGGGAAAGGAAACAAATTAAAAGAAAAAAATGAGAAAAGAAAGATAAAATGGAAACAAGGGTCTTAATAAGATGGGGAAGAGGGATGGAAGAGAGGGGAAAGGAATGAAAAAAAATAAGAATCAAGATATATCATGTACAGGTACAAATTCCATATGATGAATGTGATCATTTTATATATATACATATACCAATAAAACTTTTAAATAAAAAACACCCATATTAATACCATATACTAATAAACTTAATGATAAAAAACAAAGTATAGACCTGGATGTAGTGGTGCAAGCCTGTAATCCTAGCACTCAGGAGGTTGAGGCAGGAAGATCCCCATGAGTTTGAGGCCAGCCTAGAATACATAGTGAGTTCAAGGCCAGCTTGAGCTACACGGCTCAAAAATAAATAAATAAATAAAAGCCAAAACCAAACAAGCAAATAAGTAAATCTCTGCCATAGCTTTCATGCACAGCTTAGTTTTCTATGACCTGGAATAGCACTCATTTGGAGATGCAATGTGTCAGTGTAAAGTGAGAAGCATTATGTAATTTCCCAGCTACACTGGTGGCCTGGCTTCCACTGTAGGTGTAAGATTTCATGACTATAGCATGTCAGGCAAGTCACTTACTTTCCAATGTTTCTCATTTTTCATGCTTATCACAGAATGTTTTTAGAGATTAATTAATAATATTGTTTGAAGTTTCTAAATACTTCAACTGCCAAATTTGCTTCCCTGATTTCTTTTTAAAGCAAAATCATTATATAATATGTGGGATACTGTTTAACATCTTTTTAATGCTTTAATAATTAAAATATAATTAAATGGCAATCTTTTTAATAAAGGCATATTTTATATTATAGAGTTAATGATTGCACCTGGGATACTTTTCTGCTTAACAATAGGATTCCTGGACATAACCTCCAGGGTCACATTTAATAAGTCTTTGGGAGACAAAAGAATATGTGTTGTTAAAAATATCCCCAAAGACTGATGCAGAAAGACCACTCCTGGAAGATCTCTCTCTCTCTCTCTCTCTCTCTCTCTCTCTCTCTCACACACACACACACGCACACACACACACACACAAAAGCAAAGGTCACACTGGTAAAGCCCTAAGGTTGTCTGCTTGAGCAGATTTCAGGGTCCTATATATTGGACAGTCTCATATTCCAGGGTTCCATTTTAACCCAAAGCAGAACCATGCCTCAGGAGATACTGTGGCTTTGTTACCCAGCACAACACCAGGGCAAGAGGTGGATAGAACTCTATCTTGATTTGCTAAACAAGGAACAAAGGCTCAGTGGAATATTTTAAAATTCTTCGGAAAATTCTGATTGCTTCTATGCGTAGCATTCTATGAAGCTTTCAAAGAGTCCAAAAACTTAGTGTTCTCAAGGTAGTGGGAGACCTTTGTCAAGGGCAAACATTTGAATCCCTGAAACTTACCAGGCAATGCTGGAATCTTTGTACAAAGCCCCCATCAAGTGGACGTGGGCTCTGCTTCTGCAGGGGGACCCATTGTAATGGGAAATGCAAGAGTGTACGGAGGCAGCTTGTTTTCCTTTTGCCCTAATTATTAAAGTTCTCTACTTCCAGGGGGAATGCAGTATATATATTGAGTGACTTTTTTTCCTGGCTCCTACCCACCATAAATATTTTTTAAAAAACAGCATTCTTCTACTCCAGATCTCTCCTTTCCAAGCTAAACTTTCTGGTTCCTTCAATTATTTTTCATGTATCCTGTTTTCAAGCTTTCCCAACTGGTTACCAGCCTTTGAATATTGTCAGTATCCATCCCTAAGTGTCATTCATGGGAGAGAAGATGAGGCCTACAGTGAAGTAGAACGTGAAACTCTCATTATTGAAAAGAAAACAGCTCTCCCTACTTTGTGTGGTTATCATCATCATTTACTATTTATCCACAGGTGAGATAATTGTATATCAAATACAAATGACTAGGCTGGATGTTGGAGATTATTTTTATAAAGAAGACCAAAAGAACTCCACTTGAGACAGCAGTTAAGAAATACTAATTATAGAGAAGGAAGAGGGCTACCATAAGGGTAAACACAGGAAATGGTAAGAGTGCAGAGTATAGGGAAATGGGAGAGCAGAGAAGTCTTCCAGGAGAGAGGACAACTAGAAAACCGTCGTCTATATTGGTTGGGTAATCGTTTCATACATATATCCAATTGTATCTGTTCCGATAGGTTTAAATCATAACCCTGCACAAGTTATCTGGGAGATGGAGAAGTCTGAGCAGGCCTAAACTAGAGTGAACGAAAGCCCCAAAATCAAGTTTGTTTGCTCACAATACTAAATTATGGTAAAGAGAAATTTAAAATAATGCCAGGACTCCTCCTCTTTTAAGTGAGTAGAAACCAACTCAATTAGTTTAAATTAAAAGGAGTAGTAGTTGACTTAATTAGGAAATTTTAAGGAGTGAAGATCATGCAAAGTTTGACCCAGGCACTCGTGTGGTGCCAATAGGACACTGACTTTGTCACCAATTCCTAGGCTCTACTTTCCTATGTTGGATTCACTCTCAGGTATCTATGTGGTGGCCTCAAGCTACACAATTCCAATACAATAATCTCAGTAGAAAGGCTTACCCTCGTCCCAAGATTATCTTCTTTGTCTTAGCTTGGGTTGTGTGCACACCTTTGAACCCATCGATGCGCCCAGGAGAATCTGTTGCTCTAGCGTGAAGCAGCTCAGCTTCTGGAGCCAAGAAGTAGACTTCACTTAGTGTGAACTACATGATAGAATAGTAGGAAATAATATTCTTATTCCCATCCCCCCAGGAAATAACAAAAATAAATTTTAATTAAATACAAAAGAAAAATGAACAGGAAATAACATTGTTTCTGCAAAAGCAATCAAAACAAAACTGTTCTCCAGTACACAGTTGAAGAGAAAACCCACTCATGTTCTTGGGTAACAGTCAACTGGATTATTCACCTCAGGGCTCACTGGGTACTGAGAACTGATTGCTGCAGAAGACAACAAAGATAAGCAAGACATAGCCCTACTCTTAAGAATCAATTGTCCAGAAGTTGGCTCTCAAACTTTAGTATATGTAAGATCACCTAGAGCTCTTATTCAAAATGTAGGTTCTTGAGCTGTGTTCTACACATAATGAATAAAATTTTCAGGTCCAATAAGAATCTTCATTTTGTTTTATTGATTGATGGATTGCCACCTTTCATATTCTTATTGTTTTATTGGTTCTTTATGTATTTTTCTTTATTGTTTTAAAGTAAATGATTCTAACATATGAGATCCCTGTATAATAAGTTGAGAAACATACATATAGAAGGTAAAATAAACTATATACACATAAACCAGATGTGGTGGCACATGCACATTATAGCAACTACACAAGAGGTTGAGGTAGAAGAATCACAAATTTGAGACCAGCCTGGGTAAAATAGCAAGACTCTATCTCAACACAGAATTTTAAAAATAGGACTGGAGATGTAGGATGCTTAACTAGCATGTACGAGGTTTGATATCCAGTACCACAAAGAAAATTATTGAAAGTTTCTAATTATATGCAAGCAGGGTTTAGTCTTACCTGTGAGAGGAAGATTTGAGGGACATAAAGAAATAAAGGGATAAATTAGGCGTTGAAGAAGCACATGAAAGAGTGAAGAACACTAAGTCAAGGGAATAGTGTGAACTAAAGCACAGGACCCCCCAGGAACCCTTCCCAGGAAATAGGACAAATAGGGTAAGACCTGCATTCTTAGCAATAAGGTGATAAAAAGTAAGTTAACTATAATGCCACTGAATTATACATTAAAAATGGTTAAAATGGTACAGAGTCAGGGTGTAGATCAGTGCTACACAGCACAGGCTTAGCATGTAGGTGGTTCTGGATTCAATCCTCAGCACCAAAAATTGGTTGTAGTAGTGAAAATTTAAAAATATATTTTTATTAGTTCCTATTAATTTTATAAAATATTGGGCTTTAATGTGGTATTTTCATACATGAATATAGCATATTTTGATCATATCTACCTTCCCACAACCCTCCCTTATACCATTCCCCACTCCTATTTCCTTCGTCTAGTCTAGCAATAAGCCCCCTTGAACTTTCATGCCATCTCTTTTCTTTCTTTTTAGATTCTACATATTAGGGAAAACATGTGATACTTGTCTTTCTGATTATGTATTATTTGGTTCAACATGATATAGTGAGGATTATCTTTCAAACCCTAGCCACGCTGTCTATCTTATAGTGGATCCCTGCCCATGCTGTCTAGCTGCACAGAGGCCTATAGGGTCTTTGGAAGGTGCTGTTGAGGCTGTGTGCAGCCTGCAGCATAACAAAGTCATCCACTATTGTGGCCAGGCAGAGCTGGCCAAGTCCAGGGGAGTTCCTTCCCAATAAGGGTGGAAGAGAAGTGGAGTGCACAACTTTTCCCATGGACCCTTCTTGCTTTTGTCATTCTAATTAGAGCCCTATAAAACCAGCAGCTAAGCAAAAAGGGGAGTAGTGACCTCACTTTGCCAGTGCTGCTGCCTGTTTCTCTGTAAGTACCAATACTAAGTTACTCACCAAGCTGGACTTGTAAGAGTCATTCTTTGGACAGTCTGCTCTCCCTCAATTTGGAGGCAGATATTTCTTTTACACATCTCTGGGAAGTTTATGAAACATCTGGCACCTGAACAGGGACCAGGCAGACTTAAACATGAGTCAGGGAAGAGAATCTGCAGGGGAAATCGAAAGCTTGGGGTGGCCATCCTCCTCCATGTGATATGTAGTAACAGCCTCTGAAATGACATGGGCCACCCTGTAAGCATGGGAATGCCCTGGATATGCCTACTGGCATTTTGCAATCCCTGAAGGTAGTTCTTGTGAGATAAGAATGCAGGAGAGCTGTAGCAGATGTTGTGTAGGCTTTGTTATGGGTGATAAGACCTAAGGCTGTTGAGCTATGTGGCCAGCAAAGATCCTGGGTAGCCATTTCCCTCCATGGGGAGGGGTGGTGACTATTACAGATGCCTGGAAACCACTGTGTAAGTATGAGGATGCCTGGAAAGCATCCCCCCAAACTGGAAATGTTGCCATTGATTAATGAGCAATATGATTTAAGGGACTAAAGAGCTGTGTGAGCTGGGATAGGCCTCTTCTCATAGCAACAATTTGAAGGCTGACCTCCAAGTACATGACTGATCTAAACAAGTGCAGGAAGAAGGAGAAATGGAATAAACCTGTTCAGGTATGGGTGCTGGGGGTGAACATCACTGAGAAAGTGAAGATGATCAAGGATCCAGGCCACCAGACAGAGTTCAAGCTGGAGACCAAGCCCACGCCTACCAGGGACAGGTCTGGCTGCAAAGGCGGATGTCAGGTGGAAGGAGTGGCTCTCACACCTGCACCAGGTCCTGATGGGTAGTGGGGCTGGGGTGACCACAGCCTTGGGATTCCAGGGGAGCAGGAATAAGCCTTCCTGTCAACCTACAAGGAGTTAATGAGAGCCCACTGGGGCATATCTTGGCTGATTGATAGATTTGTTTTTGAATTCCAATTTGAGGGTTTTTTTTGGGGGGGGGTTGGTCTAACTGGCACATCTAAGACATTTCTTGTGAACAGCATTGGGATAGATCTTAAACTGCCATTAGAAAGTTAACTCGCTCTTCTTTCTACTGTCACTAAGATAATTTTGTTATTCAAAGTTAGTCAGAAGTCTGCAACTCAGCCAGTCCTAATTGAAATGTAAACATCTGAGAGTAACTGCAATGAGAAAAAAATGTACCAGGAGCATTATGAAAAAAACACGGGTCTGTGAAGGAAGGGAACCAGGCAGTAGGACAAAGAAGGAAATGTAAAGGAAGTTATGGATACAAGGATATACTTTTGGTAAAGAAAGATTTTACATGGTAAGATTTTGCCCTAACAAAATGAAAAAGAAAGAAAGAAAGAAAGAACCAGACAGTCTGAGTAAGTCAAAAAAGTTTTGAGGAGGATGAAGCTTATGAAAGGAAATTTGTCTGTTCTTTTTGTTTTTGCTCTTACTGATTTTGTTAGGCCTAACAGCTACCCCTTCCAAAACTCTTTGCTGCTAAAATGTGGCTAAAAGGGCTATAACTGACTCTAATAATTAATTCCTCCCCTTCCAACATTGGACTGCATAGGACCAAGAACCAGGGCAGCATTTGGGCAATGAGAGACAATCAGCAATGCCATCAGAGAAACTCTGACAAGGACAAGAGGAGAATAAAAGGAAGCATAGAGTTGTGAAAATCATGACAGAATCACTTGTGTCAGTCCTATACAAGAGTAAATAGAGCAAGGAGGTTGTAAGGAAGGGTTCTTATGCATGAGTACCTGATGGCAACCATCACAAAGGATTCTGCCAAAGTCATACATTTGTCCTGAGTCAACTTGAGCTTAATTTAACACATCTGTCACTGGAGAATCCAAATGTTCACAGGTAAAGAAGACTAAGCTTATACTATGGATGGGCAACTATCCCATCCTCTGGGAGTGTACTGTTTATATCCTCCTCAACCCCCACAGAGAACATACTAGGGGTGACTCACTGAGAGGGCTTATCCTGCACTCCACAGTTGGAGAACTCCACTTAGCGTGCAGATGGTAAAGCGATGTGCAGCTGGGCAGAGTGGGAGCTCTGAGGGTGCCTGCCCATGCAGTGTAGTCATACCAATTTGGGAGGATATGCAGAAATCAGTCACCACAAGGAATTAGGAAAGGTAGGAATTGTTCCTCCAGCAAACAGTCCTTTTAACAATCCTGTATGGCTGATGGAAAAAAAGCCAAATGGCTCATGGAAAATGACTGTGGGTTATAAGAAATTACAAGACGCATAAGAGAAAGGCAAATACCTGAATCAGAAGGAGGTTATTATGATAAACATTATGTTGGAAGACCTGTACAGTCAAAAGGCATGAATACATTTTGTATACCAGAAAAGTGGTAATAAGTATCACAGTTATATGAAACCTTATGTCCTTCAATGTAGTTTGGTACAGTTGAAGGCTACATTTGAACAACCTGAACAAACAGTTCCAAAAGAGTTCTGGTCCCAGTTATAGCAAGGGGTACATGGTCTGGTACACGGCACCAGAGCAGCAGTTGCTGGCCATATATAAAGCCCTACAGCAGGTGGACTCTATCACTGGATCTGCTTTAGTGTCAGTAAAAATGGCATATCCAGTAAGTGACTACGTTGAAGGCCTTTGGGGCAAGCTCCTTTCTAGGGTGGTGCAATATGAAACTTTACAAAAGTGGTGTGCATGGAGTATTATCTGCAGGTCACCTGGACTTATTGTCTCTCTAAGCTATGAAACTGCTTCCAGCGATTGAGCCAATACCTGGGCCAAATTAAGTGCTAGAAGAGAGATACTGCCTGTCCCTAAAAGTACTGGGTACACTGATGGTACTTACTGGGGTACTAGCATGAATAGGCAGCAATAGCAATACAAATGAATACAAATACAATCCTCACAGAAAGTAGGGAAAAGTAAAACAGCCAGTGGACTGAGCTAAGGCAGTATGGATGGCAGTGATTTGTGAGAGATGGCCACTACCTGCACAGATTGTTGGGCAGTCTTTAGAGGACTGACCTGACAAATGGCACATGGAGAAAGAGTACTGGCAGGTGCTTGGTGGGCCACCATAGGATGACAGATGTGGAGGGAGTTCTGTGAAAGAATACAAAATGAGTCAGAGCCACTCAGGTCTTCCATGTGGCTGCCCACCGAATGCTAGCTCCCTCAGGTAATTAAGAGGCTGGTCCCTTCACAAAGGTCCAAGCTATTTGTTCCCAGGCCACCTGGAGAAACCACCAATTGGATATATGTAGAATCTGGGTAGAAGGTGGCCAATACAAGTTGGAAGATAACAAAGTTGGACATATTCCCATAAAGTAAATATTTTGACCTTTTACATGCTATACAGGCAATGTGAGATCTGCTTCTACCTATGACTTAGAGAGACAGATGCACTAGCAGGAGAGGTGCATATATAAGTCAATATGTCCAGCAGGGGATCTGCAGGTGGATCCCATCAGGCATCTGTAAATGAGGGGAGTAATTATGCCTTTGCCTGTGTGGATACTGCCACAGGCTTCTCACTTTCCCCGGTAAACCAGCCACTGGGGAAGTACTGAGACCTCTCTCAGCTCAGTGTTATATGCCGCAAATTAACAGGCCACTCATTTCACTAACACTGATAGCAAAATTGGGCTAGGACAGGTAAGTGAAATGGTACTTTCTCCAAGGGAAGTGGCCTGATTAAAAAGAAAATGGGTTGTTTAACAGTAGTTAAGCAGTTTAAAGGCAGACTCCCTGTATTAGTGGAACAAAAGTATTTCCAGTAGCCATAAGGTTGCTGAATGAAAATTCCAGTGCCACGGATGGGCTACCTCCCTAGGGAGGTCCTCAAGGCCCCTCATACCATACACACCATTGCTCCTGCAGTTAACTGCATGCCAGAGCTTGTGAGAGAAATTCAGGCATGGCTGAGCCAAGTGTGCCACACACACATCTCCTAGCAAGGTAGGGATACTCAGAAGTTTGAGCACGCTCACTCTTGTGCATTGAGACTGGCTTAGGAGCCAGCTGAAGGACATCCTGTTCCTCTTATCCGCTGCCTCCATCACGCACCCAAAAGATCAACCAATCATGTTATGCCTCGTATGCAGTGTCCCTCCCCTTGCTCCTTGACTATGCAAGCGATTGCTCTGCCTGTTAAAAATGGAAGCATTCCAGAAACCTTCCTGGAGTCTGCTTGGTGATTCCACGCCTCACCATTCTGATCTGAGCTTCAGAACCAGAGTACAGACAAACAACAAGTGCACTGGAATTGGGGTTCACTGTTTATCGGGTAAATACTAAAGAGTCAGGTCAGTGAACCCCACGGGTGTATGTGATGGGTACTCTTCTAAGTCATGCTAAGCCTGCTCAGGCTACGTTACTGAAAGCCCTCTTAAAAATGTGGGGTATGAAGGGTCTCCCGCAAAAGGCTCTTAGAATTTTGGGAGTTGGTCCTTCGGACCTCCCCATGGATGGAATCAGCTCATGTGACGACCCAGAGGTCTGGGAGAGTGCAGAGCCTAATTCGCAGAAAGCCGAAAAGCACCGTGAGGTTTGTCTCCCCCGGACTTCTTTCCTATAACCTCAGCAATAATTCAGTGTTTGGACCCCCATGCGATCAAAGCCTCAGAAGCGTGTGTCTCGCAAGCCCCCTCTAATGACAAAGGAAAGACTCACTTCAGGGACAAAGCAAAGATGGTGGCGCCTCCTCCCTAGGGCAAAATGGAGGTTGTTGTTCCCCACTTCCACTTTCTTCTTCAGAAGCAAACTCTAACCCTCTGGTGGAAGATGAAGATTCTTCCGCCCCACCCAACCCCACCCCCCAGTCATCGGAAGGTACGTCATCCCAAGGAGGCCCCCTCTTCCGGTCCATTATGGCAGCCCCCACCATGGGCGCTGCCATCTTACTGATCTCATGATCCTCCTCTTCCTCGTCAGATAGCGAGGAGCCCCTATCCTCCAGTAATGATGATCCTCATTTGAATGATGCCTTCTTCCAAAACATGTTTTAAAAAATCTAAAAAAAGGACCCCACTTCTTTGGGGCTATCCCAGCATGGTGGGCAGACCTGGGGTGGCACCTTGGATCCCCCTTCTGTCATGCAATTATGGGCCCTTGTCCCTAATCCCCCCCATTTTTGTTACAGTGGATTGGAATTCTACTCTTCCCCCTGTGTTTGGCAATGATTCAACTTTCACCCTTCCTTGATTGAGGGTAATTTTTCTCTTCTAGATTCGTCGGACGTAAGCAGTCATAGGCTTCAGTCCGCTGTTCCTCTTTAGGTACCAATGCTTCCTTCAATGCTAATACTTCCTTCTCTCCTACTAATACCTCTACTTCTTCCTCCCCAACAGTACTGTTTTACCATTCACAGCCTGTCTTCTGTCGCTGTTTTTCTTGGAACCAATTCCTCTCTGAAGCTCAACGATAATGTCCGTGTCTCCTCGTGCGTCAATCCAGCCATGTTTGCTACTAAAACCTGGTGCCTCTATTTTGGCCACTCCCCCCACCCCCAGCAATTTGGTTACCCATAAATCTTACAGGTGAATGGCGAGAATCCATGGGCCATATGTAATGCTTCCCCATGACGTCAGCGAGATCGAGTTGTAGCTGTCATTGCCGCCATAGTCGTCTCCCTAACAACCACTAACTGCTGCAGGTACCACCTCCTTACACTGCGTAACCAAATTATGACTGCTGCTGCTGTTGACTGACTCGCCTATAACACATCCCTTTCTCTAGGACAAAGTGCAGTCCTATTTCAAGATGTATGAATTGCTGTTCTTAACCTGCAAACTCAACTGGACCTGGTTTGGGAAGAACTACAAATACTAGAAACTAAAGTTCTAAGCAGATGCCATGCAAATTATACTGATGTGTGTGTCACCCCATAAAAATTGGTAATGATTACAAAGATCTTTCAAATTATATATGGGATATGTGGGACCCCAACTATAGACAAAAATTATCACAACTAACAACTCTTATACCAATCAATAATACTCAAGCTCTAGATATCATCACCTTTGAGAATATCTGGGGTACCATCTGGCAAAGGGTAATTACTAGATGGTCTCAAGTAATTGGGTTAAAGCTGTCATTCTATCCTGCCCTTATGTGCTTACTATATGTGGATAGATATTATTTTATTTCATCCTCAAGAAAAGCCAAAGGGCTTCCCTTTGATATAAACAAACCCATGCTAATGTAGTACTTTTGGCCAAGGCAATGGAGTCAAAAGAAAAATGGGGAAATGTGAGAGAAATTCAAGCATGGCTGAGCCAAGTGCGCCCACGCACATCTCCTAGCATGCTAAAGTATACTCAGAAGTTTGAGCGCACTCACTCTCCTCCGTTGAGACTGGCTTAGAGCCGGCTGAAGGACATCCCATTCCTCCTATCTGCTGCCTCCATCATTAGCCCAAAAGATCAGCCAATCATGTTATGCTCCATATGCAGTGTCCCGCCCCTTGCTCCTTGACTATATAAGCGATTGCTCTGCCTATTAAAAACTGAAGTGTTCCAGAAACCTCCCCGGAGTCTGCTTGGTGATTCCACACCTAGCCCTCCCGATCTGAGCTTCAGAACCAGAGTACAAACAGAAAAACAGCAACAACAAGAGCTGGACAATAAGTTCCTATTGCTGAAGACATCACATGTTTTAACTGAAGGTCATGGAGAAGGCAAACTGGGACTGAATTGGAAGCTTTCTTGATATTTGCTAGCATTTGTCGTGCTGGAGGGTATTTTGCAGATTGCAGGGTGGGGGAAAGGACTGTCACCAAGAGTCTTGCATGGTTATGGCTGAGAGTGTTACAGTATTAGCACGTCAGGCAGGATGTGCCTACTGGTGCAGTAGTGGTACAGCTGGTTTGGGTGCAACCAGTCATCTGATTGGATCTTAAGTATGCTCCAAGAGAGCTGTTGTTTTATTAAATGGATGTGATGTGCTGGTGAACCTGCCATCTAAATATTTGTGTCTGTACCCACAGATTGCTGTTCTTGCCAGGGAGAAGAATCTCTTCTTGCAGTGGGTAGTGACCACAGCAGCAACACACTGTAAGTCCAACTATTGGGTGTGTGGGGACTTTCCCCTCTCTAATCAAGTGAGCCTGCACTGGAAAGTACTGCCCTTGTCTTCCTGCAAAATTGAACTAATTTTATGATGACCCAAGAGCAGAAATAGGGCCTTTTTAAAAAGCGATATCAGTAAGGAAACCTGTAAATGAATCCTGACTCATGCATACTTAATTGTGAACATATACTCTCGATTGGTGCTTGCATCATTCTAGAAGTGAGTGTCTGCTGTGGCAGCCTGTACTACTGCTGTGGCACAAGCCCAGGGCTCAGCTCTCAAAGGATGTAACATCCCCCTCCAAGGCTCAGGGAGCATTGCAGAAGAGGGGTTGGGAAGACTGGAAGAGCTTGAAGAAGGGGTGGAATGGAATGAGAATTGTCCTCTGAACCCTAGCCAAAGTAACTATCTTGTGCTCCACCCCTGCCAAGTCTAGTTGTTCAGAGGGCCTGGGGTCCTTTCCAGGTGCTGCTGAGTCCATGTGCCAGGATGTAGCATTACAAAGTCATCCATCATTGCTCTAGACAGAGCTTTCAAGGTCCAGAGGCGTTTCTTCTTGATAAGGATGGAAAGGAGCGAAGTACACAAAACTTTCCCCATGAACGCTTCTTGCTTTTGTTGTTCTAATTAAAGGCCTATAAAACCAGTAGCTTAGCAAAAAGTAGGGTAGTGACTTTGGTAGTTCTATAGCCTGCAAGTCATCCACTGTTCTAGAAGTATCCCCTAGTAAACTCCGTTACTCACCAATCTGAATTTGTCAAAGTTGTTCTTTGGACTATCCACTCCCCTCAGTTTGGGGACAAGTTGTTTTTGTGTCTCTCTGGGAAATTCACACAATATGTGATTTTCCCCAGTTCTATCTATTCATTATTCCTACAAATGAAGCATTTTGTTCTCCTTTATAGCTGAATTATGCAAATTCATCACATTTTTTAATCTGTTCATACATTGATGTGCACCCACACGGGTTCAGTATCATGGCCAGTGTGAATTGTGCTTCAATAAATGGGCATGTAGGTATCCCTGCTTTGTGCTGACTTTAATGGTTTATGCTAAGGACTGGTGTAAAGTTGGACCATATGGTATTTCTATTTTTAGTTTTTCTGAGGAATATCCACACTGATGCCCACAGTGGTTGTACTAACTTACATTCCCCTACAATGTTGAAAAATTTTAATGTATATTTTACCACAATTTTTTTAAAAAGTAAGTTAAGCCTGATATGTGGAGGAATTCTACCAATATTGTAGAAACTGGGTTTGAGTCTGGAAGCCTTGATAGTTGGAATCTTACCAATATTTCAAACACGGCAAATCATGTAGATCTACATAAACATGAATAATATGCACATTTATCACTACTTTGGCACAATACAGAAAAGGTGTGGGGAGGTTGCTTGTTGACCTTCTCGTAAGATCACAGGAGGTTCAGTAAGCCCCAGGAAGGGGAGGGCAGCTAGGGCAGTGAAAAGGGACTTCAGAGCTCGGGACCCACTACTTCACCAGTACAAGTGAAGTTGTTTCAGTATTATCAGAGCTGATATGGTTTTATCAACATTACTTTCTGAACACTAACAACATCCATGGCTTTGTGTGTGCACGCACAGTGCTGATGATTGATCCATAGCCTTGTCCAGGATAACCACATGCTTTTCTGCAGGGCTGCACCTTCAGCCCCTCATAGATCTCACTGTGCACTACATTCCATTCAGCACTGAATTAACTGTAGGAAAAGATATTTTTTAAAAAGTAAAAGTTGCCTTTTTTCATTTTATCTTACAGAAGTGTCTCTCCTCACTAAAGTTTCCTTCTTTCTCCTCTTAAATCTTCCTACCTGCCAGCCATCTCTACACACACACACCCCTAGGCACCCACTTCCCAGGATAATACCCTGATCTCCCTCAACATCGCATCCTGGACATGATCCATGGTTGACTTATGTCCCCCCATCAGTCCTGTAGCATTTCTTACCCTGATACTAGTATGGCTGTAACTCCCCAAGGAATTTGACCTGATAAGTTAAGGTGAAGAATTATACTTTTAGATAAAAGTAGGCATCTTTGGTCCAGAGTGGTAAAAATATCTTTTGTTGCTATAAATTCAAGGAAAATGGTTGATGGGGGTAGGTGTTATCTTTGAGAATGGGTCAAGTCTAACATCATTCATCTCTCAAGTAATACCATGAGGATTTCTACTCAGATGTCATTTGGCATAATCACCTCTCAAATATCTTTGCCTGAAAGATGTGGGATAACAAAGAATCCCAAAACTCGAATATTTGCAATTGACTCTGAGATAGATCAGTGTGTGTTCTGTTTCTAACTCCATCCCCTTCCCAGTCTTTCACAGAAAGGTGAAGAAACCCTGAATTTAAAAGTTGAAGTATCTGGGATTGGGGGAGCAGCTAGCTAGTTAAGTGGTAGAGAGGTTGCCTAGCATGTGTGAGGCTCTGGGTTGGATCCCTGGCACCACACACACACACACACACACACACACACACACACACATACAAAGTTAAAAAGAAAAAGTAAATTAGCTAAATACTATTAGGGATCCTAAATTGGATCATGGGACAAAAAAGGAACATTAATAGCAAAACAGATAAACCAGGCGTGGTAACGCACACCTGTAATCCCAGCACTTGGGAGGCTGAGGCAGGAGGATCACTGTGAGTTCGAGGACTAGCCTGGGCTACTAGTGAGTCCAGGTCAATCTCACCT